TTCTCTTATTCTTCCTCTCTTCTCTGTTGACGCACTTGTCTCTCTAGGTCTTGTTATTGTGAAACAAATTTTCGCAAATTACCATCTTTGAGCCCAAGTCGCTCACTCCTTTCTATCCATTTATCAAAGTCAGTCAACATGGTTATATAGCATGATTGTGACTTCTACAGTATTTTCGACGCCACTGCAGTCATGTGTATATAGAATTATTTGCTGCTGTTGCTTATATAAACTTCTACCACTGTTTACCACTGCAGATCCTTGCTGTCTCACCACTGTCAGTTTTTATGTATGGGCTGGATTTTTTATAGCAGGTGTCTGTGACTTGTTAGCAATATATTTCAACAATAAACTAACAGCACACAGTCCACATATTTTAAAATAATATATTAAAAGAAGTCAAATGTTATTACAGTTGTATCCAGAGCTTTAACAGTTGTCTCTTCTTTTTTTTTTTTTTTGTAAAAGTCCACACAGGCTGGTTTACATAATTAAGAACACAATATGACAAAACAAATTATTCTTCCTGCCTTGTTATTACAATACAGCCTGTAAAATCCCCACTATAACTGTTGGTTACCACAGTTGTATCCAGAGCTTTTAATAGTTGTCTTTATTCATTAAAGTCCACACAGGCTGGTTCAATTACTTTAGAACACAACTGACAAGACGAATTATTATTTTCTGTTATGCTGTTACAATACAGTCTGTAATAATTTCACTTAAAAAAATCGCCACTATATACTCTTTATCGTTAAACTTACAATCATGCAGTCTAGATCTAACTTTCGAACTACCTTTTCGACGTGTATTTATACCACGACAGAGGTCTAGAACATTCCACACACGACTAGATATTATGATGCAATAGTACTTAATTGAAACAAAGAGACAAACTCAGAAGGTTCTAGTTTGTTTGTTTGTAATTAAGCACAAAGCTATACAATGGGCTATCTGTGCTCTGCCCACCACAGGTATCGAAACCCGGATTCTAGCATTGTAAGTCCACAGACATACCGCTGTGCCACTGGGGGGGGGTGAAGGTCATAGTAACATGATGCAATAATAGAACAATCACCAATTCATAACTATTGAATACACAACATATGATTCGTAAACAGTTAGATAAACAATCACTTATAAAAATAACTAAATTTAACACTTGGGCTGCATAAACTATCTAAATCATAAAACTCTCATTAAACAATGAAACAGTCATGTAAATCTAATAAATGCCTTGGTATCCTTCCTCCTCCCCATAATCATTACTTAAGATGACCAAACACTTTGAAGGTTGAATCATTTCACCCCTCACCATCCATTGTATTTCAACAGTGACAACTTTCCTGGTGCTGCAAGTAAATCTGCACATCAGTTGTTTTATTGGAGGTGCATTACTTATATCTAGGGGATGACGAGTAACTGTTGCTATATCCAGTCAGGTGTATAAACTTAGAAATATATTGGCAAATTCTACCAACAACCAACTGAACACTTCCCACTATTCTGAGTTCAAATTTTTGTACAATCCTCAATCAATAACTTCATGTGCTTTTCTAGCTGTACACACATCTTTGGATGGGATGTAGCTGAAACAATACTAGACATGCAACAACTTTTGTCACTTCAGTCATGTTCATTCAGATGATGGCCATTCCAGCATGAAGCTGAATAGCCTTTTTTCATGGTTACAAATCAGCAACAATACACACACAATACTCAAATCAGTCATTTTGATTTGTACTTTAGCCTACCACAGAGGAAGATTATGTTATATTAAAACAATTTTGGAGCCTCACCACGTCTAGTCATGACCTATCTAGTAAACTGCATCTTAACAATAACCTTAAAGCATAATTTCCATTGTAAAAAGCTCCATTGTAAGGCCATCATGCCCAAAGCACATCTATCTACCTGTTACTTTCAATAACCATATAGTGAACAAGGATGACAGTTTTCTCAGTGCTCATACAGTCCAATAGCACAGAAAGCTACAAGTGTGTCCTGCAACTTGAACTGTATGTCTTTGTATATAATAGCATGAAAACCCATTATGTTCTTCAGATGATTGAGGTATGTGATGATTGAACAGAATTTATGACTGAAAGCCTTATATTAGTGAAAAGAGCCTCTTAGATTCGTTTCCAAAGGAAGATCCTTCTTGTTTATATTGTGTACTATTGCTTACGACATGTGTACAGTATTTGTCATAGACCTTTGTGTGCATAGCACCTGTTCCAAAACACTGCATTCTGCTTACCACGACATGTTGAGGTACAATATGTTGCAGTTCTCTTTCTGGGTGGTCCTGGTGTTCCAAGTCGATCTATATTCCTTTGTTTTCCAGTATCATTAAGTACAATTTCTGGTCCCGGAAATTCTAAATCCCCAATCTGAATATATCTTAATGATCTGAATGTATTGTTACAACAGAAGAAGTCACGTGACGCTGAGAGCATGCGCACTGGAGTTTCTTGAATGATCATGACTTATCGAGGAATCTCGCGAATGTCCGAGTGTTTGCCAGACACCCTCTTTTTTAGTATATAAGACTGGCAAATAAAGTCAGAGATAGATAGATCGGAGATATAGATAATAGAGTCAAGCGAACAGTAGGCACCGTAAATAAAATGTGTGAATCGCTGTGAATTATAGCATGTGTTTATAAAGGTAGTTAAGTTAAAGTGACTGTGGAAATTCTGTGCAAGAAAGAACAAACTAGTTTCAATCAAGACAGGACTTGTATCGCTGAAGTTCTTCGGAAAGAATTTCTACCAGAAATCAACAAACAAGCAGATATGTAACAAATTGGTGTCAGAAGTGGGATGGAAAATAAAAAAAAAGAAGATGAAAACGAGAAGTGGCAAATCAAACTACTACTTAGCAGATTTGATGGCAGCAATACAAGAACAGCAAAAGAAACAAGAAGAACGAGAAAAGAAACAAGAAGAGAGGTTACAGCAGTTGTTGGAGGAAAAAGAAACAAGAAGAACGAGAAAATAAACAAGAAGAGAGACTACAGCAGTGGTTGGAGGAGAATAAAAATGAACAAGAAGATAGACTACAGCAGTGGTTGGAGGAGAAAGAAAATAAACAAGAAGAAAGTCTCCAACAGTTGAGAGAAAGTCAGCTTATACAATTGGAAAATATTAGTAAATTTCAAAGTGAATTAAATACATTAAAGGACGATTTACTGTCTTTTACACAGGTAGGA